TTCCCTCCGCGCCCGCCCGGCACCCGCGATCGGCGGGGAGCGCCGTCACGGAGTCACTGAGGAGCCGCAGCGATCCACAGGCGGCTCTTTGTGCGCCAGATAAACGACGTAAATAAACATATAAATAAATAAATGATGTTTCTGACTCGGAACTATTACCTTAATGAAGTCAAGATAGTTTCAGCCCATAAACGCCAATTACACGTCAGGAGAGCCTGTTGTTTAAGCAGTCTGACACTTAATTTCGTTTTTTTTTTTTTTTCCCTGCTCCCTCTTTGTAAGCCAGTAAGCAATCTAAACATATAGACTGCTATTGTTAAGAAGTATGGTTGTGTTCGGTTGCATTTCACCAGCTCCTTGAGTGGAATTAAGACTACTCCCCTCCTTTTCTCCCCTGCAATGCAGACATGACCTAAAGATGAACTGTTTGCCTACTGGCAATGTTCACCTAAGTTGAAATGAATGCTGTCAGTGCTTTCATAAATGTTAATTGATATTTGTTTTAGCCAGATAAAATTGTGTGCTTTTTTTCTGCAGAGCTGTGGTTTGGTGACTTAGAGCAGTGCAATAAGTCTTGGTGGCTCATGTTTTCCTGCGCTTATACTTGTTTCTCCCTCTTTCTACCATGAAGGTTGCCATTAAGGGTATTGAAAGAGAGCTTATCTGCCCAGCATGCAAAGAATTGTTTACCCATCCGCTGATCATTCCCTGCCAGCACAATGTCTGTCACAAATGTGTGAAAGAAATACTTTTTGCATTTGAAGACTCCTTTGCTGATGGAGGCTCTGAATCCTCTAATCAGAGTAGCCCTCGAATTAGAATCTCTGCTTCTAGCATGGACAGAATTGACAGGATTAATAGATCAGGTATGTATCAGAGATTGTGCATGTTTTTCTAATTTTTTTATTAGACTGGCTTGAGCTGAATGGGGTCTGCATTGGTAAAATGTCTTCCTGGTACTCCTGATGTGGTTATAGAGATGATTTAGGGATAGTGCTACTCTTGTTAATTTTGTGTCAAGAACAATGGGAATATTTTTAAGGACAATGCACTCTGTTTCATCTATAATAGATTAGTCTTTGTGGCATTCTATAAATCTTTATAACCATTGTGTTTGTTTATTTCTGTATTTCAGTTACATGGCAATGTAGTAGCATCATGTTCAGTAGCATGGAGATGTAGATTTTGGTGATTTCATTGCCTGCCAGTGGTTTGTTCTGGTTTCAACCAGCCCCAATGCAGTAGTTCTGACTTCCTTCTGAGCCTGTGTAGACTTTGTAAGCTAGTTTTGTCCTGCCCACTTCATTGTGCATACAGTAAATAATTTTCCATTGGTTATGATTATTGCACAGTTGCAGATTTGGAGGGCAGATGACTGTAAGCAGACAGCCCTAGCAGCCTCCTTCGTTGTGGCCTGCTTGAACGTTTAAGGAGTGCTTAGCTTTAGGACTCCTCATGCTCTTTGAAGTATTGTGCTAGAAAGATTCTTTGTAATCCATGGATGAGTTGGTCTGCTCTCCTACAGATGCATTGACAGTGCTTTGTGCATGCTTTATTTCTTGAAAGATAACTCATCTTGGCTTTCAGGCTTTCTTCTGACATAATTATCCACTTTAAAACAACACTTCTCTGTGGTCTGGAAGAGTTACCAACAAGACAAACTAAAGTTCTTACATTTCTTTTTACTAAAGTTCATCCTTCCCAGTTTTCACAGATCAAATGTGCAATTTCACTAGCTTCTTTTCATTTAGTACCGAATTGTTAGTACTGGTGCTCTTTCAAATCTGTTTGTTAAGGAAAAAGCCACTAGTTCTTGGTGTTCCTGCTGCTGCCACCACCCTGTCCTGAGATACATGTACACAAATTGTTGCAGGAGTTGTAAATCTTTAAATCCACTGTGGTCTGCCACCGTCTCAGCAAACTGATGGGACTATATCTCCTCATCTGACCTGCTAACAGAGAGGTGATTGCTTTCCTAAAGACCTGTTTGACAACTAGCAAGAGAGGTTGAGAATTGGAAATAAGGAGCTTCCCCCCTCTCACCTCAAAGACCATTGGGCAGATGCACATCACAGGAAAATTATCATCTCAGACAGTTCAAATTTACACAGTGAAAAGCATATGGAAATGGAAGCATTAAAGAATAGATTTTTAAATTCAGATTATACTGTCTTTGCTTCTAATGTTACAAGCATTATATCTCCATTGCTATATCAAGTGTGAGATTTGCTCTCAGACCAGTTTGGTACCAGCAATGGTTGCCAGCTTGCAATTTACATTTGCATAGTTGTTGTCTTGCATGTGAAGTACCCATACTGTGCATTTCCTTGCTAAATTTGCTTTGTGGGAAATTTGTAAGAAAACAGCTCCAAAAGAGAGAAAATGTAAGGAAAACGTCCACAGTGGGGTCTCACATGCATAACAAAAACCCACTACAATTTTTGAGAGGCTTGTGCAGGGCATGTTTGAAGACCTTAGTGTCACATTTCAAAATGCATATGACACCTTCTTCCCATTATGGTTTTTTGGGTTTTTTTCCTCACTTAAAGAATCCCTGATGTCTTCATAGGGAATATGATCTATTTTAAATGGGTTGACATTTAAATTCTTGGTATGCCAGAAGAGCTGGTATGTATTTGGTCATGTTCTGTATTTGTTGTACACACACAGCTTGCATTTACAAGTACAATTTATCTTAATGTAAAAACTACAGAAGTCATTGAAATGGAGTGCATGTGCTGCTTAAAAACCAGTGTGTTGGTTTAAAAATACTCCTGTGTTCATACTGTATTTAAAATAATTTTTAATTAACAATGTCTTGCTGTATATAACATGAAAATGATGGCTATTTCTTACTGCTGTTCAATTATCTCTAATGTTACTGTAATTACAGTGTTGCTGCAATTAAAACATGTAATGTGGTTATATTGACACTTGTGCAAATGTTTGAAATATCTCTCCTTGTGCCACTCCCCCCCAATGCGTTCTTTCTCCCTTTTCCTGTTCTGCTTAAATCTTGTTGTTTTTTGATATGCTAGGAAATTAAACATTCTTGCCTTTCAACCCTGCAGGAGTTTAACAGCCACAGGAGAGAAAAGAGTTGGTGCTTTTCATTTGAACCATTGTAAACCAATGGTATATCTCATTTTTTGATGTCTAAATAGCTCTCTGTTCATTGTTCACAGTCTCACAGAGGAGGTCTTTTGGGTGCAGAGGTAGAAATGCTTCACTTCTTGTGTTGGCTAGAGATAGTCTAGCATTTAGATCTCAAGTTAAATATTGTTGATTAGCATATAGCTTTTTGTCAGTGGTCAAGTCCACAAAAATTATTTTGCAGTGAGCAAAGGTACAGCAAAGAAGTTCTATAAGGACAGCTTTCTGTGCAAGCCTGATTTAAAGGTCAACTGGACTGAAATTCAGTTAAGGGCTGGATTATATTTTTTCCTTGTGTATATATGACTCAATATAGATTGGTGGGTACAAAAATGCACACAGAACCCCAGCAATCACTGCACCATCTCCTCCACCCCCTGCTTTTTAATTTTCAGGAGTTTACGTGCTCAAGTTTCAATGAAACGCTGTCTTACTGGTAATGAAATGTGATTATTGGATTGATCTTCCTTACGTATACAGGTCATGTTTGGCCATCGCTGCTAAATGGAATATAGTATTAGTTTGTTATTGTATTTAAGCCTGCTTAATTTGATTAAAATTTGCACCATGGTGGTATGAGTAGGTAGTTCTGAATCTCACAGTTTATCACAGCACATGAATATGTGAGGAAAATGAAACATTTTACACTTAGACTTTTAATATTTGGCATGTCTAATGACACAATCAGATTGAAGGATAGTCAAGTCAGTCAGTCTTTTATTTTAATCTCTTTTCCAAAACTGAGCTTGTCTGAGCAGCTCAGCCACTATGTGGACTTTTTAAATACTGATTAAATATTTTTTTTAATGTAATCATTGGTCAAAAATGGGAGAAAAAGTCCCCAAATTCCTTGTTGCCACAGTACTGGCAGACACATGAGTAATCCATAGAATATGGTGTCCTTCAAGAAAGATGTGAACTGAGCTAAACACAAATCTGAATTTCACACTCAGTGGAGGACAAAGCAGATCAGAAGAGGAAGTTTAATTACCTCAGTTGAAGGCTGAAAGTGGCATAAAACAAAGTTACTGTACGATACCATCAGACCTCTTGGAAAGCTGTCCATGTCTGCTCTTTTTGCAGGAAGCTCTTTTGATTTGTGAAAGACTAAAGTATCTGAAAGTAACATTTTAGCTCAGCTGGCTTCTCTTATGAAGCCTTTCCCTTCTCCCCTTTCCCCTTTCCCCTTTCCCCTTTCCCTCCCTCTTTACCCTTTCACCTTGCTATTCCTATCCCCTTTTCCTCCTTCCCTTTTTCCTTCCCCCTAAAAGCCCATCCAAAAACATTAACTGAGTTATGTGGTGGCAATATGCATTTCTATTTAAAAACAACCCCAACATTACAAGAGAATCCAGTTGACTTTTAAATCTTTTTTATTAAACTTCCACACATTTAATGTCCATGTCTTCCACAACCATAGAATTCTGGTAATACTGTTTACTTGAAAAACACAACTTTAAGATGTCTTATCCCTTTGCAAACCATTCACTGCAGCTTGGACTTTTCAACATTTTAAGTGTTGGTACCTCTCCTTGGGAAGAAGACTTTTAAACATTGTCTTTAAAGGACATGTTAAAATTGCTTTTTGACTTGTGTCTTTGCAATCTCTATGGTAATATTTGTGTGTCTGAGTATATGTTGTGATTTTTTTTTGTAACTGATTGAGCAACTTATTGCAAGTGGAGAAATCGGTTTACAAATCACAGTGGAAAATTTCATGTGATGATTTCTAATATTTCACAAAATACATATTTGCTGTTGTAAACTAAATTGGCAGAGTATAAAAGAGAATGTGGGTAGGAGCTAAGTTTCTCTGAGATGCACATCTAAATATGTCCACAAAATCCAAGGGTTTTTTGCTCTGGGTTTTTTAATGTGTTTTTTGTTTGTTTGGATTTTTTTAATATAACCAAAATTTAGTTTCAGCAAATTAGACACAATACAGATAGGAAAGACAGTGTCCAAAGTAATTAATTTCTTCATCAGCGCTTTCGTTTTAAAATATGAGTGTAGAAATCCTTTAAGCAGAAAGCGAACCAGACTGTTAATATTTTAACACTCACTAGGCAAAAAGAGCATGTATCTCCTTATTTTTGAGTATTGAAGTGGCAGAACATGCCAAATAGCTTAGCAAATAAATTTCCAGGATTTAAAACAGAAAAACACCTGAACCTAGATTCTCAGAGTGCTGTCAATGAAAAGGGATGAGACATCTGAAGGTGTGCAGGACTTCCTTGACACTGGATTGCTTTCCATAAATAATGTCACCAGTTTTTGCAGAGCATGGCTCATGATGACAATCTCATTTCCATCCACCACAGGCACAATGAAAGGCCTCCATTGGGATGGATATGAATTTCAGATTATATTATTAAACTTGACCACTGCACCATGTTTTTTTTTCAGTGTTATCTTTTTTTGTCATTTTTGCTCTCTGCTCTAGCATACTACTTGTAGGCAGTGCTGATATGTGCTGCACTGTATGATTATTTTCTTAGTTTCAGTGAATGTGTGTATTCAGCTGTTGTCTGCATGGCACTGCATGTGAAGTCATTTTTTGTCTAGGACATTTTAGAAGTCTGTGTAGAAGCTTTCTCTGTGTTCCTGTGTGCAGTGCTAGCTTGGAACATACACTGGAAATACGGTTTGTGTTTCACTGTTGATGCTGTACCTTGCATGTGTGTGTTGCTGTGTATGCCAAGTTGTAGATACTGCAGGATGTGCAGTAATTAATTAATTTCAAGTAAATATGAAGAAAAAGTGAAATCAGGCAACAGTCACTTCTCCCTTAGGTAGAGGGTTGCATACCTGTGGCTTGTCTCACCCATCCTATTCTGTAAATGCAGCCCAGTTGTTCTGCTCACAACTTTGAGAAAGGCATGAGACCAAGCTGGATGGGAGATGTCAGTGCATGCACATTTATCCATGCTCTGATTGTGACTTCTTAGCTGACAGTCGTGCATAACTACCAAAGGTTAAATTTCAAAGATATTTAAAGGAATTGATTGCTTATAGGAGTGTTGGTTTGCTGTTTTATTTGAAGAGACTGGAAAGGGCATGATAGGAATGGAGGTTTTGGATTGTTAGGTGAAGAAGCAACAGGAGAGCAGCTCAAGGCAAGTGTATTTTGGGTAGCATCACAGGACACTTCAAAAAGAAATACAGCATTAGCAATTTTGATGGGAAAATACTGATTAAATATGGAGAATAACAAATTTCCATTTCTGAAGAAGAGCCAATTTCAACACTAAGAATTCAGCTTTAAGTCATACCTCCATTTACAAATTTGTTAGTGTCCTGGTTTCAGCTGGAATAGAGTTAATTATATACTGTAGTATATATTGGAGAGATAAAAATAATAAAAAAATGGTTAATACAAAGGAGAGAGAAGAATAAAATCCAAGAGAAACAAGAAATGCACAATACAATTGCTCACCCAGTACCCACCCTGTCACGCCTGACTGCCCCTAGTTTATGTCCTGGACATGACATGTTATGGTTTGGAATATCCCTTTGGTTGTTTGGGTCAGCTGTCCTGGCTATTTTCCCTCCCGGCTTTTCATGCACCTGCTCTCTGGTGAAGCATGGAAAACTGGAAAGTCCTGGATTTAGGATAAGCACTACTTAGCAACAGCCAAAACACCAGTGCATAATAACCTCATACCGAATCCAAACCACAGCGCTGTACCAGCTACTAAGAAAATTATCTCTAACCCAGATGAAATCAGGACAGTTGGTTACACCAGTGTGCAGTGCTCTCAAAGAGATCTCAAAGCAATGCACCAGCAGTGCAGAATATGGGGTTTTTGTGTTCCTTTGTAAGGAGAAGCTGAGAGAATACAAGTTAAGCCTAAAGACTAGCTTAGCCTGCTTTTGAAATACATAAAGGATTCTTTCTGGTAGTTGGAGCCTGTGGGTTCATGAGTGAACAGGATGCACTCCTGGTTTGATAACCTCAGGAATATTACGTTGTGAATAACCTGTGAGTTTGTGTGACCCATCTCCTTACAGACTCAAAAGGCTCTTAAGTTAGTGGCTTTTCTTGAGCATGTGATTTAACTTTGGAGAAGGGGGGAAATTTGTGTGTAGCTGTTTGGTAGGAGTGCAGCTTCTCTGCAGCTCCCCCTTCAGGAACTAGCAGAGGTAGATAAATGCTGTTTGACATCCCTGTGGAGATCTGTGATTCCTCAGTTCAGAGCAGAGTAACCTGAAGATATAACTATCTCAGATTCCCCTTTGGTGTGTAGGGCTCATTTAGCAGCCCTCCTCTACTGAGGCCTTTCAGAAGGTGCCAAGTGAGCCTAAACATTCTTTGACTAAATTATTTGGCTGAGATGTCATACTGTTCCCTTGTTTTCCTGGGTTTTTTTTATGATGACTCTTGGGATGAGTAAAGTAAGTTTGAACTCAGTCAAAACAAATTCCAAGGAGCTCAAGGTTGGCTATGTATTTCTGTTGCTCTGAGAGTAAGTATCTTTCACTTCAATATGTTAGGAAGCTGTTGCTCTCTATACAGGTAACCAGTTAGTCTAAAACCACTTGGCTTCCAGAAAGTTTTTGCTTATTGTTTCAAAAGGCTACAGCTTGAGTGCATCCAAAACTAGATAAAGAAAATGGAATTGGAAGAGCTAAATTTATCTTAACATAAAATTAAGTTTTCTAGTAGTAGTTTGTGATGTTCCTTGGAGTAAGACATTAACACTACTTTGTCAGGGCAATTGTATTCTCTTTGGCTTGGCAGACTGCATATGATTTGGTGTTGTACTGGTTTGGATGATGTGCTACAGTCTGGAATTGGTTTGTAAATTCCTGTGCTTCTTTTAAAATCTAAACCAAATTGTTTTATGCTCATCCTAAACTGGGTTTTGATGTCTATGCAGGCAGAAAACGAAATTCACTGACTCCTAGATCGACTCTGTTTCCTTGTCCAAGTTGCCAGCGGGATATTGATCTTGGGGAGCGTGGCATCAATGGCTTATTTCGCAACTTCACTTTGGAAACCATTGTGGAAAGATACAGACAGGCAGCCAGGGCAGCTGTTGCTATTATGTGTGATTTCTGCAAACCTCCACCTCAGGAGTCCACAAAGAGCTGCATGGACTGCAGTGCAAGCTACTGCAATGAATGTTTCAAAATCCACCATCCTTGGGGAACTGTGAAAGCCCAGCATGAATATGTAGGACCAACCACCAACTTCAGACCCAAGGTAAGTATACTTATGGAATTCAGGTTGCAGCATTCTCCTGTAGCTGCCGACACATCAATGTCTGTGTCGGATAATTGCTTTTTAGGACCATGATTGCTTTCTTGACAATTGCTGTTATTTATTGAGTGATCCTTGCTGTCATTGAATGGGACATTGAGAACATACTTGAAGGGTCCTGTAAAAGTAAGGGTTTTTACTTTGTGGAGTGGATTGTGTTACTTGTGATTTGAGTCTTTCTTTCCTTTTCTTTTTTTTTTTTTTTTTTTTTTTTTTTTTNTTTTTTTTCTTTTTTAAGGCTTAATGATCATAAGTAATTGAATATTCTAACTTGGAAGACGCCCACAAGGATCATCAAGTTCAACCTTTAAGTGAATGATTCATATAGGGATTGAATCCACACCCTTGGTGTTTTTGGCACCTTCCTTTTGAGCATCTAAAATGGACTGCCTAGGGAGGATGTCTGTGTGTGTTAAACTTAAAAACCCCAGCACACCTGGCCTCTTTCATGCCCTTCTTTAGGAACATCCCCTTTGGATATTTTGTGCTTGAATTTAATCCATCACCAAGCATATTCTTTCTCTCCTTCCTTGCATCTAACAAGAGCAAAAGGTGGAGTTATAGTCTCCACTGTTATTACGCCATTATTTTTTTTATCTATAGCAGAAGAGATAAAAACGTTATGGCAAAATTTCTACTTTATACACTGGTGCTGCTGTTACTGCATTCAGACAAAACAGTGATAACAAAATGCCACTACCTTCATGTCTCATACTGAGGATGGTGCAGTACGTGGCAGTGCCTTATTGAATTTGTTAGATTGCACATGTTACATGTCACAGACGCTATCTTGCTAACCAATGGCCTTAATGTCCCAGCACATGCTGTGTGCCTGTGCCTCCTTGCTGGATGTCCCACAGGTGCCAGAAATGCTGATGGTTAAGGAGTCCTGATTAATTATGATTAAGTAAATTTGATTAGTGTGCAATGTGTAAGAAGCTCTTAACTGCTGGTGTACTTTCCTTCTGAGACTGGAAAAATTTGAGCCTCTAAAGTTAGCAGGCTACGAGATAGTGAACATCTTGGTGGTGTTTTCCTTGAGTCTAAAACATTCATTCCAGTTAAAAGTGAGCATGTGCTTCATATGTTTTCAAATGTGCTTGCACACACATTGTGTGAAATGTCTCTCTATTGGAAAAATGAGAAAGGTGAAAGTTTGCATAATATATCTTGCTTTTGCTTTAAGATGCTATAAAGCTCCTTAAAACCTTAGTCTTCTATGACATCTAAACCCTCACAGCTGCAACGTTGCTATTGGAAAATATCAAAGGCATCTTGTGATCCCTGTGCGCTCCTAAAAGTGCCCTGTGGTGTTACACTTTATGCACATTGAATTCAGGATTAAAAGTCAGTAGTTGAGTTCTCTTGAAGCAGAGCAAAATGGGATGAAGTGGTTTAGATTATTCTGTCACTGATGTATTGAATATGTGTATGCATGTGGGATTTAGCATTTCTAATTATATGTGAAGACAGGAAGAGGGGAAAAAAGGATAAAAGTATAGTGTGGTTAACTTTAGATACATCTGCTTGTTTTAAAAAACTTCCCAACTGAGGTAAGCTGATCTTTACTGTGCTCTGATAGAAACTTTTCTGAGGATTGTTTGAGCTTAATATAAATAAAGAAAAGTGTATTTTTCATTGCACAGCATTTTTAAGACTTGAACTGAAAGCATGAAGTATTTGTTGATTTCCTAACCAATGTTCCCAGTCACCACTTTAATTTACAGCTAGGCTGGAGAGCACTTTGAAGCATGTGTGGTGGGGATGGGAGAAGAACATACTGGGTGATTGTTCTAGAATTTTGAGAGAAGACAAGGCAGTCTGCTGACCTCTGCTGTCTCTTGCTTGCAAGCTGTAATTCTTGCTGATATGAGGAGATGAATAAAAATTTGGATTTTCTGTGAGGTGTGGCTGTACACTGCTGTGGAAAATTTACTGACACAGACTAACTGAATGACTGTAGTTTTTGGAGATGTTTGCTTGCACAGCTGATTTTCTTGGCAGCTTCCTTTTTTCCCTTTTTTACTTCCTTCCAAATCCAGTAGTCCATCCAAATGGGATTGCTAATTGCATATTTGGTTTAATGATAGTCTTAAGGTGCTGGTGAGACTGGTGCCTTTGGGCTTTTCACCACACTTTAAGCTAACAATTGAGATTTGAAAGCTTATTTCAGGTTTTAGCTTTTTCTATCCATATTTATGCTACTCACAATTCTATTTTTATGTCCTTTTCTGACCTTTCTTGTGCGGGAGCATATTGAAAGTGAAAAGCTTCCACAAAAGCTCCTCTTTGGTAACTTCTACGGACTAGATGAGCTAAATGTTTTCTTTCAGTGCTCTAGAATGAGGCAAAGCAAGCATTGTTTGTTTTTTTATTTAACCAACACACACACAGACAAACACATACATTATATGGTTTAATGTGTTACCTAAACTTGGACTTGAGCAGCACTTTTTAAACTCTTTGAATGTTTATTTCAACAAGTTCCATTTTTGAAAGCTGATTTTTTAGCAAACCAGCTTTCATGCAATGCTGTTTGAGCTAATCCTGAAAGTAGCAGTCAGTGTGAGCAACTGGAGTCAAACAGAAAGATTGAAACACTGGAGTCTTCTGTCTTCAAAATGATTGCACCTGTAGGTGGTGGCTGCACTTCATAGCTCCAAGAGCAATGACTATGTGGTTTATCAAAATCTAGCTAGGACTTAAATTGCTACAATATTATGTCAGCTCTTGCTTTAAGAAACAGCTCATAGCTGTTGCAAGAGATGCTGGCTTGAGCATAGTTAAGTTTGAAAGGCTGGGTGTGTTAAATATTGCATTTACAGCTCTGAGCTGGAGTTTAGGGTGCTGGATGCATTGCAAACAACAGGGGCAGGGTTTAGCAAAAGATTGATTGCTATATGGAGGCTACACAAATAGTGCTAGAGGCTTACTTACTATAAACCTTGTGAAACTGTGAGTGTTCATCTGCTCTCTTTCAATGGCACTGAAAAATATAAAAGGTAGAAGATAAACTGACTATAAAAATTTCACTGATCAAGTCATATGCTGCTTTGGGTTCATTGGGTGTTTTGATTTTTTGAGAACCTCCATTTTTGGAAGTACATCTGCATTGTCTCTGCTCTTTTTTTTCCCCACAGATTTTGATGTGTCCAGAACATGAAATGGAGAGAGTAAACATGTACTGTGAAATCTGCAGAAGGCCTGTTTGTCATCTTTGCAAACTGGGTGGAAGTCATGCAAACCATAGAGTAACAACCATGAGCACTGCCTACAAAACCCTTAAGGTAAAAGAAAATATCATTGGACCTGGCCTTAAGGAGAAGAGTACTTCTGATGTGAGGGCAAACTCCCACTGGATAGAAGGCAGGATGTGTGTTTAGGAGACCCTGAACTAGTCTTGAGTCCTGTTGTTGTGCAACATTCATTAATGTATCATTAATGTGATATAAAGCATGTTTTAGAAGCTAAACTGTTTGCTATGATGCTCGAAACATAACTCCAGAAAGTGCTGTCATCTTATTTCAGCTAATTGTACTGCAGTACAGACAATGCAGAAGGTTTGAGCAGTTAATCAACTTTACAAACAAATTTTTTAATAGAAGTGTTCAGGTAGCTTGTGGTAGAGGACACTTGAGAAGTGCTTCTAACAAATTTGCATCTGAAATATCTGTTGATATTTGTGTATGTATCTTTGTATGTTTCTGAAGCTGCATAGCTGTTAATTTCCTAAGCAAAGCACAACAGAGAAGACTTGCAAATCAATTTGTTATTAAAGACACACCTACTTCCTCTTCTTCCTTTTCTTCCTCTCTTGCTCTCAGGAGGTAAAAAAAAAAAAAAAAAGACCAGATTAGCCTGACTTCTGCTCTTTGGCCTCCATACCAGTTTGCAAGGCTTTTCCTGTACAACTGCTAACTCTTGCAGCTAGGGAAGCACAGGGACAAATCTGTGATTTGAGCTACTCCTTTTTCTAGCAACTCTTACTACAAATGAGTTAATAACTATCAACTCCTCATAAGTTTAATGTCCTGAAGCCTCTTTTTCCCAGTTTTAGAGAGGGTGATTCCTGGGTGACTGGGAGCCAGCTGACCCTGTTACCTCTGATCCTTAGAGCCTGTGCCAGCAGTCTCGCTCACAGTTGCTTTGCAGTCACTGCAGGTCACCAAACAATTCTCCACAGGACTGCTGCTCATAACTGGTGTCACGATGTTGTCCCTGTGGCTAGATAAACTGAGGACTAGCTGGATGACCTGCTTGTGCTGGTTGTCACTTTCTGTGAGATGCCCTATTCTGGCTGTTTTACTTCAACAGGAGAAGCTTTCAAAAGATATCGAGTACCTTATCAGTAAGGAGAGCCAGGTGAAAGCTCACATCACACAGCTGGATCTGCTGCTGAAAGAAACAGAGGTAAGAGTGGCTTGAAGGTTGTATGGGGTTGGCCTATTACACAGGAAGGATTCAAAACTATTTTCAGTGAAGTGTTTCTAAGTTTGATTTTTTCAGTTAAGTAGTAAAACAATTTTTGAACAGTTTGTGGTAGACTAAATCACACATGGTAAAACCTAGTCCTGCCAGGATGGGAAGCAGACAAAGGGAAGTCCATTTTTGAGTGCTCCTGTAAATTGAAATAAAATAAAGCTTATTTGGTACCTTAACCAAAGTGGGTTAAGCATGGGGCATTTCTGTATTTATGATGATGCAGTATTTATGCTGCCTGTTTCCTTTGAAAAGGTCAGAATTAAGGGCAAAATCTTCCTGCAGAAGAGTCACATACAAGCCAAAAGTATGAAGGCAGAAGTATCATCTAGTACTGATGTGTTTTGATTACAGACTGCCTCTGTGTTTTGCAGTTCCTTTTATCCAGGACAGTATTTAGAGGTGGCACTATGGTTCAGAGGGTGTAAACGAGAAGCTTGGCTGGACCCTCAGGTCAGGGTGGTTAGGGAAGGTGGAAGAGCATCTAGCTCTTGGGCATGAAGACTTCAGAGACTGACATGTTTTTACAGTGCTTTTTCATGAGCTAGAGAGACAAATGTAATGCATAACTCGAGGCATAATCAGAGGAATGCTTTCCTACTCTTCATTCTCTGTTAAAGACAGCAAATGCTGAGGTGGTGTGCTGATCTCATTTTCAGTGCTGAATAGCATAACAAAGCTCATTAGTCTTAACTGTCAAATTAATTACTAGATTACTGTAATGTCTTGAACAGCCTTAAGTATGTTTCTATATAGTCACAGCGATGCAGAATCTGTCTGAAATGTCTTTTGTTTGCTCCTAGTGCAACAGTGAAAGAGCTAAACAAGAAGCATCTCAGAGTTTTGAGAAATTATACCATGTCCTGGAAGAGAAGAAATCTGCAGCTCTTAGGGCAATTGAAACCTCTAAGAATATAAGGCTGGAAAAATTGCAAACACAAGTGGAAGAATACCAAGGGCTCCTGGAAAATAATGGCCTTGTAGGATATGCTCAAGAAGTGCTGAAAGAAACTGATCCCTCCTGTTTTGTTCAAACAGCAAAACAACTTCATGTCAGGTATCTTAAATACCTTGTTTGAGGCACAAGTACTGTTCCAGGATGTCCATGCAGTTGTATTCTTGGGAGATGTTCCTGGTCATGTTCAGCTGGAATTTCTCCATTAGGAAACAACACTCAGGAGAGGAGTGCTCTTGTCCTGCCACAATGCCTAGCCTTGTTCAGTGGGACTGCAATGGGAGGATACTCTGTTTAGCTCCCCGACAAATTCCTTGTCTCAGAGATTTTATCAAGTATTTGCAAGTTAATCTAACAGGTCTCTTCTGGCTTTAGGCTCTTTGATCTTTGTGTTCTCTGCTAGTGCCTCACATCAGTTTGGTGCTTTGAACATAATCCTCCAAATTGTTTATATACTTTGCCAACTGAATGACTACCTGTTCATTATCTTTACACGGATGTACAAAAGGCCTTTAAATTATGCATTTGAGAATCTTTTTAGAGATTCTAGAGAAAATTTCTGGGAGACATCAGTAAGTACATGAAAGCAGGACTTTTTTTAAAGCAAAACTGATGCTCCTATCTCTCTCAGCCCCTAAATTATCAGGCTAGCCCAGAGATACGAGGCCTTGAGGGGAGGGACGTCAGGAGATGGGCAAAGATTAAAAAGAGGCTCTCACCCTGATGTGGTTGTCCAGCTTCTTTATTCCATGACATGACGGGGAAAGAGGGTGAACAGGAAGGGTCATGGCCTTATCTAGGCTCTCGACAGGGAGAGCTTCTCTGGCTCTCTATCAACCCCATCAGAGCAGGAAGGAAAGGACCAGACGTATCTGATCCCAGTCATAGGAGTCCCTGGAAATGGGGTAAAGCATATCCTGAGCGCACTATAACACCTCCCCCTTAGTTGTTTAACAAGGTTACAGGGATTCACTGGGCTCAATTTAACCCTGAGTATGGGTTTCCCACCACCTACAGTTGGTGGCATAGTCAGACCTCCTTGTGTTTGCCAACTCTATGTGGTTGACTTCTGAGGTAGAAGGTATGAGACCCTTGATAGCTTTGAAAATCAAGTGACGCAGGATCCCAAACGCCAAGGTTACAAGGAACAGAATAACAAGAAGTAATAAAATCGATCTAACAACAAATGTCCACCACCCCATAAATCCTCAGCCCTTGAACAGTTCTTCATTAGCAAGATGACAACTTGGATGGGGTTCATCACAGGGTTCAGTGGGAAGTAGGTTTTCTCTAAAAGGGAAAAACAAACATTTGGAGAATATGTTAAAGTTTCTATTTCTGCCAGAAGAAGTTCACGCTTAGAAAAATTCTCCTTCCATTCAGCGGCGTCTTCTCTTTGAATCATCAGCTGCTTGCTTCTCATCCCCTTCTGTCTGGCCTGGATTCTTGGGGACAAAAGGTTTCACCCATTTCTGGGGAATCCACCAAGGGCCTGAGGGAGTAGCTACATACGCATAGCCACGACCCCAGGTCAGGAGCTCATAGGGACCCTTGGTTTCCCAAGTTTCTGGATCCCTGATCAAGACTGGTGGACGCTGAGACAATTTGAACTGCTTGACACTGTTAAAGTGATGTACAACAGGTGGACTCGTGTTTTCAAATGAACAGTTCAGAAAACTGATGGTAAACATGGCTTTACAGAGCTTCTCCTGTGGAGACATCCACGGAGCTGAACTGCTCTGTCTTTTCAATACCTGCTTGAGCGTCTGGTGTGCACACTTGACTACAGCTTGACCTGTGGGGGAGTGGGTGATGCCAGTCTTATGTTCCACTCCCCACTGCTGGAGAAATTCCAGAAACTCCTTGGATATATATGCTGGGCCATTATCTGTTTTGATTGTTTTTGGAACCCCCAATACTGAAAATGCTTGCACTAGGTATTGTTTGACAAATGCAGCCCTTTGTCCTATATGAGCAGAGGCATACACTGCCCCTGAGAATGTGTCCACGCTTACATGAACGCATTCAAGGCGACCAAAACTCTGAATGTGCCTGCCATACCTCACAGCTGCTGAGGCCCCTGGGGTTTACCCCCATGCCCAACGATGGCACAGCCTGGAGCTGGCAGTTGGGACAGTTGGTCACAATGGCTCGAGCCTGACTCCGTGTTAGCTGGAACTGTTGGATCAGACCTGGCACATTCTGATGGTAGTGCTGGTGACTCAGCTTTGCCTGTTGGAAGACATCAGGGAGACGTGCTTTTTTGACTGGTGCAGCAAGGGAATCTGCTTTGTGATTCCCCTCTGCAATCTCACCTGGCAAATCAGTGTGTGACCTCACATGCATCACAAAGTATGGATGCTCTCGGTGAGAGATTAAATAAATCAGCCTTGAGAGCAATCTGAAGAGATGTTCATTCTCTATTTTTCTGAGCACAGCCTGCTCCACCCTGGGCAGTACTCCTGCCACATAGGCAGAGTCTGTCACCAAGTTGATTGGCTCAGAAAATTTCTCAAAAGCTCTCAACCACTGCAGCCAGTTCAGCCACCTGGGGGGTTCCCTCCACAAGCTCAACATCAGCTTCCCAATGCTGAGTCTGTGGATTTCTCCAAGTCGTCACCGACTTGTGGGAAGCCCCAGATGCATCTGTGAACACTGTGAGAGCCCTGAGTGCCCTCCAGCTCCTTTTCTCTCAAGGAATAACGTGGAATTCCTCATTGAACAAATTGTGAGATGGGGCATGGACTGATATTTGTCCCCTGTAGCTGTCCAGAGATAACTGGAGACTGGCATTGCTCTGGAGCAAATGCTCAAACATCCCTTTGGTCAGTCTCTCAGGAGAGTTCCTTCCCTCCTCAGAAAGCCTGACTGGAAGGTGGACACATGCAAAGTCGCACCCTGCTAATTCACACAACCTCACTCTGGCCTTCTGAATCAGCTTTGCTATCAGCTCTTGTGGATTGGTGATGGTCTTGGATCTTTGGTGTGAGAGGAAAACCCACTCTGTGATCAAGAGTGGGTTCTTCTGCCCCTCAATACGTTGGAAAATCAACCCATGCAAGTGTGGCAGCTTTCCTAGAACAATGAACTAGAAAGGCATGTTTGGGTGACATGGATGTGCCTGCCTTTCTGACAAAGCCTTCTGTGCCTTTTCAATTGCTGTCTTTGCCTCTGGGATCAGCTCCCTGGGGGAGGCCAGCTCCCTCTCCCGCTTCAATAAATTGAAGAGAGGGTCTGGATCCTCATTTGTGAGGCCTAGCCAGGGCCTTACCCAATTCAAAGACCCACACAGTGAGTGGAGGTCTGCTAGTGTTCTGGGGTTGCAATTGATCTCCAATTTCTGAGGGACAATGGTCCTTGCAGATGTCTCCAGACCCAGGTATCTCCAAGGTGGCATCCTTTGAACTTTGTTTTTCTGCAACTGAAATCCAGCAGAGGTTGAAATCTCAACCACTAGGTCAACTGTGTATTGGAATACAGAGTCATTGGGGGCACACACAAGCACATCATCCATGTAGTGAAGGATGATGGCATCCTTTCTCTCTGCACGTACCAGACACAGTAGTAAGGTGAGGCTACGTACTGTTGGCATATGAAAGGACTGGATTTTAGACCTTGGGACAAAACTTTCCAGTGATAGCATTTCATTGGGGCTTCCCAATTGATGGTGGGAACCAAGAATGCAAACCTCGGGGCATCTTCAGGGTGTAATGGAATTTGGAAAAAATAGTCCTTGATATCTAGGACAGCCAATTGTCAATCTCAAGGGAGCATTGCTGGACTAGGCATCCCTGGTTGGAGTGGACCCATGTCCTCTACAATTTTGTTTATTTCTCGGAGATCGTCAAGCAATCTCCACTTGTCCTTCCCAGGCTTCTTTATTACAAAGACTGGGAAGTTCCAAGGGCTGTCTGTCTCTTGTATGTGTGCTTGAGCCAATTATTCCTCTACAAGTTTTTCAAGCACCTCAAGAAATCCTTAGCCTCAGTTATTGGTAATTGATAAAATGTTTTTTCTGCAGCATTATAGATTTTATCTAAAACCCACTCAGCACTCAAGTTTGTTTTTCTGGACAATGCCAGTCACCTGTGCCACATAGGTGATCTATTGTAATAGGGTTACCATCATTGTCATGGGCCTCACTGGGTGTTTGCTGTTTCTCCTTTAAAACTGCTGTTAAAGCCAACTTCCATTTATTTTTCCATATCTCATATTCAGAAGGGCTTAGTAAACATTTAAATAAATCAATACTATCTTTCGGTACCATCTCATTTGTATTAAAAATTGCCCTCATCATCCCTTTGAATCTCGCTTGATCTCCCAAATTCTCTCTGTATTTTACAAATCTCTCTTTTGTCTCTATATGGTAGTGGTTGATACATTCTGGTGCTGTTTCTCCTACCTAGGTATACAACAGGTGCTACAGATGGCATTAATTCATTTCCAATGTCCATAGAGGCAGGAGTGTTTCTCACGCCCATCCCCTAGGTCCTGGTGAGAAGCAGCTCACATGCTCTCTCCCGGGCTGCCGGTGCCACGGGGGAAACCCGTGCGCCGCTGGTGCTGTGGGCTGGACTCGGCTGCCCCTGGCATGGTCCGGGCTGGGAGCTGTGTCAGGATCGGCCCCTCCCCTGCTCCTGTGGCAACCCAGAGGGAGGCTTTGATGTGGAGGGTGGGGTGATGCTGCTGGAGGCCAGAAGGGGTTGGGAGAAAGGTGGGGGGCTGGGGGAAGGAAGGGATTTTGAGAAAAAGATTGGAGCACATGGCCGCCACCATTATGCTGCTGTGTGTGTCTCAGAGACCCTGCCACATCCCCAGGGCTCTGGGAAGAGAACCTTTCACTTTTGGAGAAGTCTGGACTATATTTCTCAGAAGAACCAGGTGTTATAGGGGGATAGAGGGTGGGTAAGGCGATATCAGGGCTGGTGGATAGGAATGGGGAAGAAGGTTAGTCAGACTGTTAGTCTGTGCCTGTATGCTTTTTTCTGCTTCTAAAACCTGTTCTCGAGCTTGTAAAAATATCAGAATAAATAGAGAAGCTTTATGTTCACCATTTTCAACTTTTAAAGTTAGTATCTGTCCAATTTAGTCCCAAAATGAGATTGAATTCATTTCCTGCACAGTGAAATCTGCTATTTCTTTTGTTGACCAGCATATGAAACACAGTAGAAGCTTATTTGGGAATGTAACATTGGTTAAAATATTGTGAAGGTGTTTTAATGTGCTCTTTTGGTCCACCAATAATTTTGCACCCATTTTTTAATCGTATTGGTGGACTATCCACCACCAGACTCTAACACAGCACGAGTTTTTGAATTCCCTGGTCTTAGAACATGGGAAATGGCACTGGGGGGCAGGGGGGCACCTTGCCGCCAGGGCGGCTCCTGCGTTTTTCTCGGCTCCCCTGGAGTGCAGAGTTTCCCTGCTGCTGTCCCAGGTTTAGATACCCCCTCCCACGGGTTCTCCATCCCAGGAATGTGGGCTCTCTCGGTTGGAGCGGCTACTCCGCTATGATCCCCAAGCCTGCCTGTTCCAAGCTGCGTGCACTGGCTCCCAGCGTACCCCCACAGGCAGCTTCCCACGGTCACTGTGGTAACCCCCTCCCAGCCAGGTACACTCCTGGGAAAATGCAAACCGAAGAGGTTCTTACCAATCCTGTGAACCGTAGGGTCATGCATGGAATCGTCTGGGGTCCCAGCTCCAGCCAGCTCTCCTGGGATGCTCAGGCAGGGTCCTGACTAAACCCTGTCACTCAAAGCTACTGAAAAGCAGCTGAAGCAACAGGGTCGTTGACTTTCCCAAAGAGCTTTTGAGACCCCTAAAATAAGGGCTCCAGCTCCTGCGTGGGCTTTTAGCAAACACGTTGGGGGCCAACTGATGCTCCTACCTCTCTCAGCCCCTAAATTATCAGGCTAGCCCAGAGATACAAAGCCTTGAGGGGAGGAACATCAGGAGATGGGCAAAGAGGCTCTCACCCTGATGTGGTTGTCCAGCTTCTTTATTCCATGAGATGAGGGCGGAAAGAGGGTGAACAGGAAGGGTCATGGCCTTATCTAGGCTCTGGACAGGGAGGGCTTTCTGGCTTTCTGCCAACCCCGTCAGAGCAGGAAGGAAAGGACCAGACGTATCTGATCCCAATCATAGGGGTCCCTGGAAATGTGGTAAAGCATATCCTGAGCGCACTGTAACACAAAACCTAGCATTTTTACTTTAAGGAATGTCCAAATTCAATTGCCTTTTTTTTTCTTGTGCTATCCTACTTTTGTGTTTTCAGAATCCAAAAAGCTACTGAGTCTCTGAAGAGCTTTAGGCCAGCAGCTGAAACCACTTTTGAACACTTTGTGGTGGACACTGCCAAGCAAGAAGACATCCTTGGTGACCTGTCCTTCCATTCCAATGGTAAATTCTGAAAGCATTAGGTCTTTCTCAGGTTTTAGCTTTAAGGGCTTCTCTGGAGAAAGCCAGAACTTGCATAGGGCAGCAGTTGCAGAGCTCGGGGTTGTGACTTGCATTGTTCCTTCTTTCCCGATGATTCAGAAAGCATTACTTGGCAGCAGTGTTAGTTTCAGCTCTCATAAATAAGGTAAAATGACATTTTCTTAAGTATCAGTTTGCACTGGCTTCAAAATATTGTATTTACATCACATTCAGTCCTTCTAAAAGCTTTTTATTACATAACAGAAAGTAATAGTTTTAAAAGCTGCCAGAAAAAAAAGTAAAAACAGAAAATAGGGGATTTGTTTTTACTTTCAAAGTAAAAACAGAAAATAGGGGATTTATTTAAGTGCATGAACAGAGAACTATCCTCATCTACTCCTTTTAACTAAGAGAGTCAGATTCCCCCCTTTAACAGAGCTACAGATCAACAAAGGGGTTATGTCTTTGTTTAAGACATCTTTAAAAGGCAGATGCTTTAAAATGAGTTTCCTCTTAACATAGTTTTAACCAATCCCTTTCCACCAGTAAGGAGAAACAAGTATGAGTTGATAGAAGTGAAAAAAATAACAGTTTAATAAAAAACCAAAATAGCAAAGGCCAAAATAATTGTAATTGTCCCTAGCTACAAAGTAGCTGAAATCTCACAGTAGCACTAATAGACTTGGAATACAATAACATTTTGGGTTACGCAGGACTGGTTGTATGGTTAACTCCAAAACAATATGTATCTAAATTTCAGAGCTTTTTTTTTCCTCATTTGTTTCAGGTCTAGAAATACCAGAAATCAATGAAGCGCAGAGCAGAATGTACAACAAAGCTCTAATCAGCTGGGAATGCCCTGGGAAGACAGAGTCAGCTGATACTTATGTTCTTGAGTATCATAAACTTAATAAAGAAGAGGAGAGTGTGACATGGCAAAAGACTGAAGTTTGTGGCAAGAGCAAAGTATTATCTGATCTTGATGATGACAGCAGCTACGCCTTTAGAGTTCGAGGCTACAAAGGGTCCATCTGTAGCCCTTGGAGCAGAGAAGTTATTATGCGTACTCCTCCAGCCCCAGGTATGGGGTTTCCTTATGTCTGTCAGTATTAAGAGCTGAAAGTAGTTTCCAATAGCTCCCAGATGTCTCCTACACTGTTACCAGTTTCATAAATGTTTAGAAGCATTGTTATAGATTAAGCAGGTAACATACAGAGACTGTTAGCTTGCATGACAATCCTGGTAGTCTTTAAAAGTGACAAATTCTAATGCCAGTATGATTTAAAATGTAGTTTATAAGTACAGAAGGCCAAATACATAACTAAGCAGAATTTTTTCGGATACTATTTTTCAGTTTTCAGTTTTCTTTTTGATGACAAATGTGGGTACAACAATGAACATCTCCAGCTGAACCCAAGAAGAACCTCGGTGGAAAGTAGGGCTGGATTTCCTCTGCTTCTGGGATCTGAGCGCTTGCAGGTTGGATGCTACACAACCCTGGATTACATCATTGGTGACACTGGGATTGCCAAAGGGAAGCACTTCTGGGCTTTTACTGTGGAAGCCTATTCATACCTGGTGAAAGTGGGAGTTGTTCCTAGCAACAAGATACAGAAATTGTTCCACAATACCCATGATGTGACCAGTCCAAGGTAAATTGCGTAAGAGGATTGCTTTTTAAAAAAGTAAATGAAGAGCAAGTCTGTTCTCAGTTAGTATGCAAGGTGAGCTAACCAGTGAAAAGTTTGAAGGATATGGTGTAAGCAGGTTGTCCCATTATTAGCAAAAAGATGTCCTGATTATCCAGAGTCTTATTTTCTTTCTTTTTGGGAAAGAAGTCAGTTTCCTGTAGATGCCAAAGAATGTCAGTTAAAGCAAGAAGGTTAAAAGTAAGTTTTAAGATTGAATGCTTGAATATCAGTAGCAAGGCTCTGCCTTAATTCCCTTAGCATGAAAGGTCTGGCAGCCTTTCAGAGGAACAGTGTTCACTGTGCATATTTGTTTTTGCAGTAGCTGTGTCACAGTGGATTCCAAATCACTGGCTTACGCCAAGCTACATGCTGGTATTTGAGCGCTGCTGAGCATAAGCTAAAGTATAGTGCCAATAAAAAGATTTCTGTCTCACAATTACAGTTGTAGCAAGTCTGGATGTGTGTAGAAACTGCATGGAAGGGAGGCTATCTTCTGGGGACTCTTCTTCAGAAATTCAACAAATTTTTGGCTTCTTCAATGGAAAATGTGTCAGCACAATCTTGAGTTACTTAAAGCCAGATGGAGCCATTTGCAAAGTGAGAAATTAGATCTAAATTTCCCGATTTCTTTTTCCTTCTCCACATAGATATCTGTAAAATTTTAGCAGACACAGAAACAACTGCCCTCACAAGCATCCCAAAACTGAAATCCTAAGTAAGGAATGTCTGTACTGAAGAATGTGTGCTTCTGCATGTGTCTTTATCTGGGGACAGAGGTGGAGGGAAAAGCATGTAGACTGACCAAATATGTCTGCAGACTCTTCAGTAACTGTCTGGGAAACTGTTCAGGGAATTCTTCAGACATGGCACGTTAAAAAAAAGCATCCAAACTTAAACCACTAAAGCACTACCTTTTGTTTTGTGAATTTTACAGATACTGTAACATAGCAGCATCATGGAAAACTCACAGGACATGTTTCTTGTCTGTAAGGACTGATCATTATTTGCTAAATCACTTCTCAAGTTAACTAATTTACTGTACCTGTAGGTTCATTAATTATTGCCTAGCATAAGTATATTTAGATACATCCACTCCTTAGTAAAGCCTTCTGTGGTCTTGTCCTTATTTGAGTTTAGCTGTTATTAATTGTTTGAAGTAACCCAAGTGAGTCTTCACCTACTAAGTGCATCTTCCTTCCTGGCTAAAGTGTGTATCACTGGTGTAAGCAAAGCCTGGTGGGATGAGTGCTGTGACTGTGGTGCCCTGCTGGTTACAGGCTCTTCAGAGGGACAGGAGGACAGATGAGGTGGGGGTGGTGCTGTCTGTAACATAATGTCTGGACAGCTGGCAATGCCACACGTGAGAACCTCTGGGTAAGGATGAAGGGTGAAACAGTGGATGTCATTGTGGGAATCTACTACAGGCCACAGAGCCAAGATGAGGACACTGATGAATTATTCCTTAAGGAGCTAAGGAATAGCTCTACATCAGCCACCATTGTAGGGTGGTCCTTGTAGGGCACCTCAGCTTGGCAGATGTTAACCGAGAGCACCACACAGATGAAACAAACAGGTCCAGAAGAGTCCTAAAACACCCAGATGATAATTTCTTGGTTTGGGTACTAAGGGAGCCAGCTGAGAAAATTGCTCTCCTTGATTTTCTCCTTGTCAACAGAGAGGATCTCGTGAGCAAAGTGGAGATTAGCAGCCATCTTGGCCACAGCAACCATGAAGCAATTGAGTTTAAAATCTCTGTTGTCAGGAGGAGAAGTGCCAGCAAAACTTCAACTCTGGACATGAGGAGAACAAACTTCAGGCTGCTGAGGGTACTAGTCAGGAAAGTCCCCTGGGAGACCACTACTGAAGGCGCTAAGGTC